ACTAGCCTCAACTAGCAGCTGCTGACCCCTTCAAACATCAAACTAGCCTCAACTAGCAACTGCTGACCCCATCAAGCATTAAACTAGCCTTAACTAGCAACTGCTGACCCCTTCAACCATCAAACTAGCCTCAACTAGCAACTGCTGACCCCTTCAAGCATCAAACTAGCCTCAACTAGCAACTGCTGACCCCTTCAAGCATCAAACTAGCAACTGCTGACCCCATCAACCATCAAACTAGCCCCAACTAGCAACTGCTGACCCCTTCAAGCATCAAACTAGCCTCAACTAGCAACTGCTGACCCCATCAAGCATCAAACTAGCTTCAACTAGCAGCTGCTGACCCCTTCAAACATCAAACTAGCCTCAACTAGCAACTGCTGACCCCATCAAGCATTAAACTAGCCTTAACTAGCAACTGCTGACCCCCTTCAACCATCAAACTAGCCTCAACTAGCAACTGCTGACCCCTTCAAACATCAAACTAGCCTCAACTAGCAACTAGCGTCGACCCTCCAAGCACCACGTCAGCTGACAAGGCCCGTCCTGCTCTTCACCTCTCCCATGTAAACACAGATTAATGTCGCGGAAATATTTTTATCATACAAATTACCACTTTAATGATAACGTTCAATTATATAATTGTTAATTAGATTTTGTTAATTGTGAGGAAATGTTTTGTTCAGTGAGGATATGTTTATTTTTTAAGTGTGTTTACGACTGTAATGTGAAATCTACAGTGATGTACTGTAACCAGATGTCTTGAGTGATACAGTGATGTAGTCGCTGTATCACTGTATTTTGTGACACAGCCATTGGGAGGAACGATGCTTTGGACCCTGGGGAATCGAACGCAGACCAGCAGGGAAGCGAGGCAGTGACTGTACCGTCCAATCCAAGGGGTTGAGTACAGTAAAATACACTTATGTATCTTATGAGGCTGTGGCCACTCACACGTCTAGCCAAAGTGAGGTAAATGTGAGAGTGAGGTAAATGTGAGAGTGAGGTAAACGTGAGAGTGAGGTAAAATTGAGAGTGAGGTAAATGTGAGAGTGAGGTAAACGTGAGAGTGAGGTAAAAGTGAGAGTGAGGTAAACGTGAGAGTGAGGTAAACGTGAGAGTGAGGTAAAAGTGAGAGTGAGGTAAAAGTGAGAGTGAGGTAAAAGTGAGAGTGAGGTAAATGTGAGAGTGAGGTAAATGTGAGAGTGAGGTAAATGTGAGTGAGGTAAATGTGAGAGTGAGGTAAATGTGAGAGTGAGGTAAACGAAAATGTATTTTTTTTTACACATGTCCTCTTTCAGTTTTAATAAGGAAACTTTTCCCTATTAACACTGCTCATAGCACAGTCGATAGAGGGTCGGTCTCACATGCCTGGGGTCCAGGACTCGAGTCTCATTCAGCCCAGGTGAATATGGAATCTATGTCCTCCTTTCTTGCAGGAAAAACAAGAAAAACAGCTGTCCATGTCGACTTTGTCTATTTCCCTCTCAGTATTTTGTATGTAGTGATCATAGCCCCTGTGGCTCTTCTCTTTTTTGTAAGGTTGTGAAACTTGAGTGCATTTAAGTGGCTGTGTGGACAGCGCTCAGGATTCGTTGTCCTAAAGTTCCGGGTTCGATCCCCGGCGGAGGCGGAAACAAATGGGCAGAGTTGCTTTCACCCTGATGCCCACTGTTCACCTAGCAGTAAATAGGTACCTGGGAGTTAGACAGCTGCTACGGGCTGCTTCCAGGGGGATGTGTAACAAAAAGGAGGCCTGGACGAGGACCGGGCCGCGGGGACGCTAAGCCCCGAAATCATCTCAAGATAACCTGAAGAAGATAACCCCTTGTCTGCAATTCAGTAACTTTTAAATAACTTTTAATATTATGAGTACTTTTTTTTCTGGGAGGTCTTGTCTCGAGTGACAGATAACAGACAGATGTCGCTTCGAGGGGCGACAAAACAACTTGGCCTCCTTAGCTCGTCGCATTTTGACCTATTACTCTCCCTAAGGCCAAACATTGTAATACTAGAAAATGGAAGCTGCTGGCGAAAGTGACGTACTGTCCCGTTTTCTGTTTTGGGTCCTCTGGTAGGTTAGGATAAGGGCACTTTAGTACGACAGTTTCTTGACGTTGAAGCCTCTAGCGATGCAATCAGCTGGGCGCTTCAGAGTTCGTTGCCGGCTCTTTGCACACCAGCTACCACCTCCAGGGTCACTAACATCCCCGCCTTAATGCTCACACACACCAACTCATGCCTAAATGAGCTCTTGGCTCCTAGCCTAATATTCTGTCCTTAAGACAATAAAATGATGAGTAGAAATGTTCACAACATATAAATTACTCTAGCTTGCCTAGATCAAAAGGGGTAAAGGGAGGGACAATTATCTACCTTATTTCACTCCAACCACGAAGCTGACTCGTCCTCTGTTGAGGGATGTTGAGGTTCCTGGTCCTGGCGTCTGCTCTGCCGACGACTAGTTCCCACCACACACACAGGTTCCTCCGTTGCCTTCGTGGTAACGCGTCCTCACCGTGCTAATTCCCAACAGGTACTGCCTTCCTCCTCCTCTTGTCCGGGGTACTGGAGACAGGTACCTCCGTCGTCCTCCTCCACTCTCACTGGTACTGCCGACACCTCGCAGTCCAGCACAGCTTCCCCTCGCCTCACTGCCAGTAGATTTGGCTCGGCCGTAGCTACACGCTTGATGTGTAATACGTGGTCCTCTGGGCGTCCCAGACGTCACCAGCCCAACGTTCCCTCTGCTGCAGACTCTTGATAGAGCTCTTGGCTCTCTAATCCGGTCCGTCCTTGCCTCTGGGCACTCCACGGAAGTTGGATGGCTTCTCAGACTGTCTGCAGAATCGAAGCGCAGCTTAAATCTACTGGTAAAGGCTCTCTAGATCCGGAGCTCGCTCGAGCGCGTCTTCCCTCTATGACGGCTCGTGACGTACTCTTCCCGCCCAGGCGCCAGCTGCCCCGAGAGCCCTCCGCCTCGTGACGTCATACCGCCCGAGGGCTCTCGTCATTGGTCACTCCCGGCACGTGACCTCACCTGGCCAATCAGGTGCCGGGAAGTGTCACGGCGTCTAGGCGGGAAACAGGATGGCTAAGCGCCGTCTTGTGCCCCAAAAGGCACAAGCCCCCTGCATTATCAAACTTAGCTGGCCACTTTGTAGCCAGTTTAGTTACGCTCCACGCTTTCCCACACATGAAAATGTTCCCTGAACATCAGAGAATACTTAGGCTACGGAGATATGACTCTTCTAAGCTGAGAAGGAAGAAATATAGGGGTGGGACACCGTCACAGATGTTTGTCGGTGTGATGTTTGTCAGTGTGCTGTTTGTCGGTGTGATGTTTGTCGGTGTGCTGTTTGTCGGTGTGATGTTTGTCGGTGTGATGTTTGTGGGTGTGATGTTGGTCGGTGTGATGTTTGTCGGTGTGATGTTGGTCGGTGTGATGTTTGTCGGTGTGCTGTTTGTCGGTGTGATGTTTGTCGGTGTGATGTTTGTCGGTGTGATGTTTGTCGGTGTGCTGTTTGTCGGTGTGATGTTTGTCGGTGTGATGTTTGTGGGTGTGATGTTGGTCGGTGTGATGTTTGTCGGTGTGATGTTTGTCGGTGTGATGTTTGTCGGTGTGATGTTGGTCGGTGTGATGTTTGTCGGTGTGATGTTTGTGGGTGTGATGTTGGTCGGTGTGATGTTGGTCGGTGTGATGTTTGCCGGTGTGCTGTTTGTCGGTGTGATGTTGGTCGGTGTGATGTTGGTCGGTGTGATGTTTGTCGGTGTGCTGTTTGTCGGTGTGATGTTTGTCGGTGTGATGTTTGTCGGTGTGATGTTTGTCGGTGTGATGTTTGTCGGTGTGATGTTTGTGGGTGTGATGTTGGTCGGTGTGATGTTTGTGGGTGTGATGTTGGTCGGTGTGATGTTTGTCGGTGTGATGTTTGTGGGTGTGATGTTGGTCGGTGTGATGTTTGTGGGTGTGATGTTGGTCGGTGTGATGTTTGTCGGTGTGATGTTTGTCGGTGTGCTGTTTGTCGGTGTGATGTTTGTCGGTGTGATGTTGGTCGGTGTGATGTTGGTCGGTGTGATGTTTGCCGGTGTGATGTTTGCCGGTGTGATGTTTGTGGGTGTGATGTTTGCCGGTGTGATGTTTGCCGGTGTGATGTTTGTGGTGTGATGTTTGTGGATGTGATGTTGGTCGGTGTGATGTTAGCTGTTGCATGTGCATGCGTGATGTGTAGCGGAACACATTAACTATCGCATTCTCTAACTTATGAAAAAATGTGCGTAATTCGCGTAGTGATGCTAAACATTAGAGATAAAAGTTGGCGTATAAGATGGCGGATGTCGCCATTTGATGGCCTGTCAAAGTAACAGTGACAAGGTGACAGTGTCAAGGTGACAGTGATAAAACAGGTGGGTGTTAATAGGTTGGTAACGACGGTCCTGTACGCATCTTCGATAGATTCGTTATCTTGATCTATCGCCGAGATAACGCGTGATGACGTCTGTTCATGCTGAACCCGTCCTCTCCTTCCCCCTCCTTCCCCTCCACAGCTGGGGGTCAGCTTTCCTTTACTATTGCTACATGAAAGCAGTTTTTGTCATGCTTGCTCTTGCAGGGTGCTGCAACATATCTTACCAGGCTACTTGACACTGATTGCAACATAGCTTTATCCTATATATAGCACTTTTTATGGAAATTCAGCAGTTTTTTTCATTTACAAAACTGCTTTTTTTTTCCTTCTATAATATCATTGCATTCGTTTTGAAGAGCACTTGAAACCCTGTATTGTGACTGTTGCAGGTCTTATACTTTATTCAATTAAATATAATCTTTTATAGTTTTCTTTCGTCATAGTATGGAATTGAAAAGCATAATTCTAAGATTGCAGCATGACCGAGTGGTATGAGACGAAGGGTGTTGCCTCGACCCCTTGTGAGTGGACCTGGAGGTGTGTGTGTGTGTGTGTGTGGCAGGGCGGCCCTTACTAACCCTGGCTCGTCCATAGGTCCTCAACTACTGCCCCAAGGACATGAAGGCCGACATCTGCGTCCACTTAAACCGCAAGGTCTTCAACGAGCACCCAGCCTTCCGGTTGGCCTCCGACGGCTGTCTTAGAGCCCTGGCGATGCACTTCACAATGAGTCACTCCGCTCCAGGTAAGTCTGTGTGAGTGTGTGTGTGTGTGTGTGTCATTGTGAGTGTGTGTGTGTGTGTGTGTCATTGTGAGTGTGTGTGTGTCATTGTGAGTGTGTGTGTGTGTGTATGTGTGTGTGTGTGTGTGTGTGTCATTGTGAGTGTGTGTGTGTGTGTGTGTGTCATTGTGAGTGTGTGTGTGTGTGTGTGTGTGTGTGTGTGTGTGTGTGTGTGTGTGTGTGTGTGTGTGTGTGTGTGTGTGTGTGTGTGTGTGTGAGCGTGAGGTAAAAGTATTGACATTGTAGCGTAATGGCGGACTTACTCGATCTCCACAATTCACAGGGAATGGCGGATTTCTCGTAATTGCGTGTTATTCGGGTTGTTAGCCCCTTAGGCCACAGAGGCCGTACGAATGCAACACGGTAGATGGCCAGATGAATTGAAGTACACATGTTATTATAGATTAAATACATCTAAGTAGTGAGAATAAATCGGTTGAAATAAGAGAGCTTCAGTGCACTGGACGCCTTGCAGGGGACCTGCTGTTTCACACGGGGGAGTCGTTGGACACGCTGTGTTTCATAGTGACGGGGTCGTTGGAGGTCATCCAGGACGACGAGGTGGTGGCCATCCTGGGCAAGTGTGACGTCTTCGGCGACACCTTCTGGAAGGATCCCACCGTCGGCCAGAGCGCCGCCAACGTGCGCGCCCTCACCTACTGCGACCTGCACGCCATCAAGCGGGAAAAGCTGCTGGAGGTCCTCGACTTCTACCACGCCTTCGCCAACTCCTTCGCCAGGAACCTCGTCCTCACCTATAACCTCAGACACAGAGTGAGTAGCGTGCTCGTGCACGAGCTGCAAGGTGCAGTTGAGAGTAACTTTGTTGTTGTTGTATGTAAATAGATACAATTTAATGGTGTGATGTTTTATGATTAGTTCCTGCGACGGCGCTGGAACCAATCGTATTAGCGTTTGCCTTTATATTGGAGACTTTCGGCGCCGTGGACCTGGTGCATGGGTAACAGCTTCTTCTCCCTTATCAACCTACCCTGGCTTTGCGCCCTGGAGAGGCCACTCCAGACCGACAACCAGAGCATAACTCCATAGTCTCCTGAGACTGATGGATGCCTACTTATAACAACATTTTGAACCTGACCAATCAGTACACTTAAATAAATGTTTTAGTTTTGTGCGGGAAATGATTGTATAATTTATAGTATATTAAAAAAAATAGTAGTATGAAAGGCACAGCGCAAATGTACTTCATGGCTGTAATGATCGACATAGTTACAGTTTAGTGTTGATAATAAGGCTAAAAATAATGAATATACAATGTATTTCGTGCTATAAATTAGGTTCATATTATACACTTGTAAGGGCAAGCATACGGGTTAATTATCATTTTCGTTAAATTTTAGATATACATAAAGTATACGTTTGTGTGATTGTTTCAAGCGTAGGTTAGACATATATATATATGAATGAGTTTGGGTGGATATAAATAGGCTCTCCTTATTTATATCCACCCAAATCATTCGTGTCACTGGGTAATTTGTTCTATAAATCAGCAACCCTATTTCCAAACCAGTATTTACCCAGGACTTTCCTCAGCCTTAATCTCTCCTATTTAATATGTATTGTTCCATGCTCTATGTTTGTGTTGATATATATATTACATCTGATTCACCGCCCCCCCCCCTACCACGTTATTTCTTTAAATAATGATAAATGATAAAAAAAGCAGAAGACTGTTTTTTTTTAGGCTGTAAGAACTTAATCAATAGGCCTATAGGCCTTCTGTAGTTTCCTGAATTATTTTCTTCTGATGTTTCTCAAGTTAAAGTCGCCCCTCCTCCCGTCACCCCGCCCCCCACGTAACCACTCGACCACCTCTCCCCCTCTCGCCCTACCCCTCTCCCTCAGCCCCCACTCGCCCCCTTCCCCACTCGCCCCCTCCCCCACTCGCCCCCTCTCCCACTCGCCCCCTCCCCCACTCTCCCACTCGCCCCCTCCCCCACTCGCCCCCTCCCCTACTCGCCCCCTCTCCCACTCGCCCCCTCCCCCACTCCCCCCCCCTCCCCCACTCGCCCCCTTCCCCACTCGCCCCCTCCCCCACTCGCCCCCTTCCCCACTCGCCGCTCCCCTACTCGCCCCCTCCCCCACTCGCCCCCTCCCCCACTCCCCCACTCGCCCCCTCCCCCACTCGCCCCTCCCCCACTTGCCCCCTCCCCCACTCGCCCCTCCCCCACTCGCCCCCTCCCCCACTCGCCCCCCTCCTGGCCGCCGCTAGCGTCCAGAGCGGGCCTCGGCGCCACCTTCACTCCCGCGCTAACTGACGCGCCCTCTGTCCTCGCCCCTCCAGCTCATCTTCCGGAAAGTGAGCGACGTCCGGCGGGAGAAGGAGCTGGCCGAGAGGCGCAAGCACGAGCCCCAGCAGGAGCTGAGCCATGACCACCTCGTGAGGAAGATCTTCTCCAGGTAGGCTACCCACACCCACTCTTCAGGTGACCTTTACCCTAAGCTGGGAACCTTTGGGTTCATCTTTACTGAACTGGGGGCGATTGGGTTAGTCTTTATTGCTAAGAGAAGAGTTGAGTTGGCTTTTACTGTGCTTTACTATTGCCCTTGGAAGTGATCCTTGGGAATTATTCCACTTGGGGAAGTGATCCTTGGGAATTATTCCGCTTGGGGAAGTGATCCTTGGGAATTATTCCACTTGGGGAAGTGATCCTTGGGAATTATTCCACTTGGGGAAGTGATCCTTGGGAATTATTCCACTTGGGGAAGTGATCCTTGGGAATTATTCCACTTGGGGAAGTGATCCTTGGGAATTATTCCACTTGGGGAAGTGATCCTTGGGAAGAAACTTGCTAATTGTTTATAATTCACTTCTCCAGTTAATAAACATAATTGTGCTAATCCATTCATTTTTTTGTCTTTCTTAAATAGTTTTTGACATATAAAGATCTAGATAAAAGACTACTGTTAATTCAGCCCTTTGAGGACCAGGGGAAAAGTGTGTGTGTTTGTTTGTTTGTTTTTGTTTGGCGTCTGGTGCAGCTCGTATGTTGACTGTGTTTCTTTTCCTTGTTCCTCTGACTCCCGCCAACCAGTGTCGGCGAGCAAACTAGGAGGTAAAGTTGATGGTCCGTCGGGTCGGATCTGGACCCGACGGCCTCTATAGTCACCTTCTTGAGTCATTGGCTTTACTGGGGGGTCTCAGGACTGCTTCGCCAGGGTCACAGGGGCACTTAAATACCTTGTTTTGTTTTATTTTCCTAGCTGCTTTTTGTCCCATATATCTGCTTTCTTGGGATCGTTTTTTGCTCTTCTCTTTTGTATGTTTATTTGACAGTATTGTATTAATTAGCTCTGATTCACTAACAACTGGGTGAAAGAGAGCCCGTAGCCAGGGGCGGCGTCGGTGTCTGGAGGGTGTGGGTGAGAGGGTGTGGGCGTCGTCACTTCTCACTCTCGCTCCTCCTACAGACACCTCCCCCTATACCCCACCCGCTGCTTACCTTAAGAAATATGTATTAAGGGTAAAGGTATTAAGAGGAAGTTAACATAATGTGTAATGTTACGTGGTGTGGTGTGCGCGGCGCGTGTGGTGAGGGGCGACGGCCAGCCGGCGCCTTCCTTCCTTCTCCACCTCCATCCTTCATAGAGCTATAGATGGAGTGAGCTATGGTATATTCCTCACGCTACCCTCTCACTGGCTACCCATCTGGAGCACAGTGGTCTCGTGGCACCATCAACCACAATGTAGTGATCTCCCTTCCACTGGTAGCTATAGATTCCCCTGCTCTACCAGACTTTGCCTTTAGCGCCCACTGCCCCCCGCACTAATCCATCAATAACTAGCGAGTTCCCACAGCACTTGGAACACGCGAAAGGTGCCGTCTTAAGCTGTCAGCTTCTACAACCATCCACTTGTAAGAGATCAGATCCCTAGCGTAGCCTGTCTCCATCTCCCACTACCTGGAGACCAATCACCTGGTTATAGCAGTCAGTATCGAGGGTTAATCCTTAGCACAAGGCAGGAGTGTAGGAACCCATATCTCAAACTCCTCATCTCCCCTGCTTGTTCTCCTCTTTTACCACTGATTATTATTATTCAAGGTAGACTGTAAACCCAGCCGTAGCCTTAGTTAATATTTATTTCATTCGCTTTGCATCCGTAACTTACCGAGTGATTGGGTGGGTGGGTGAGTGAGCCTGTGTGGAATCTAGCTAACTGGCACTGCTTTCAATGCTTTACAACTCTAACCTCTGCCACTCTTACACACACCACACGCCTCAAACACAACCTCTAGAGATTCAGAGCAACCGCTTCCGAGTATGAGAATCTAAATCAAACAGAGATATCAAGCACTACGAGAGTAAATATTCAGTGGTGCTGGTGAAGCCTAGATGCACCTCCCACGCCTCAACCATCCCCCTCAACCACTCCCTCAACCATCCACACCCCAACTCTTCCCGTCTGTCAATAATCTCGCCTAACGTATTTTGTTAAGCACTCGATTACTCAAGAAGCGTGCAGCGACCCGCATTACTTGTTTACAATAATAACATTTAGATAAACTTGCTATTTTCCTACAAATTTGCATATTTTTATTTTTTATTTTAAGCGTGAGACATTTCAAAGGGTTCATGTATAATCTTTTTGAACTTCTTATGTTGACCTCTTTTTTTTTTTTAGTATTTGTTATTTGAAGTAAAGTAGTTTGTCTAAACTTTTCTGGTGTGTTTCCTTATTTAAGGAATCCAGCCCTTTGTGTGTGTGTGTGTATGTGTGTGTACTCACCTAGTGAGTATGTGAGTACACTCACACACAATATGTGTGTGTGTGTCAGATATGTATATTTATTCAGAAGCTTGCCTAAATGTATCTCTATGTACATTTCTATTAAAAATACCATTCTCCTCATATAAACAACTGATGAGCATTGTCAAGAAGCAGGCGGTGGAGGGTATAACCCCCAGGTGTAGCCGTACCCTGGCGGCCGTACCAGTTGCCTCTTGCTCTGGAGTACGGCGACATTAACACCTCAGGTTCTCCAGGTTCCGGAGAGACAAGGCTGGTGGCGGCTCGGGCACGCCCAACAGCGCCTCCTCTGACTTGGTGGGCGTGAGTGGACGTGATGTGGAGCGGGGCTCTGGGGAACGCTCCGATTCTGAGCTGGTGGGCACCACTGATGCCCTCAAGGTACATGTATACAGCTGTATATTTGTGTTTTCGGTGTATTTTCTTCCACACATGTGGGCATTCATTTAGAATACTAACTAGTATATATGTTGAGTCTTTCTGTATTAGTATATCTGTACACCATGAAGATTCCTTCGTGTTGTACAGTGTATTATTGCAAGTGGACGGAGCGGTGGTAAGGGTTACCCAGTACAGATAGTAACGGACCTCTAAAACTAGCCGTCAGTGGAAGTACCGCCGATACTATAAACTCCACCAGAGGATGGACAGCCAGTAGGGTAAAGTAAGCCAGAAGCAGGCCATTTTGGTTGTGGCGATGGCATGCTCTAGTCCCGGGGGTTCCTGCTCGGGGACTCGCTGCCCTAGGGACAGTACGCTGCCGTCTTCGGGTTTCTACACAATGTGTTTACCCATCCTTAGACAGCTGGTATCAGTCCTAGGATTTTTACATGATTAGTTTACCGTCACTCAAGGAGCATCCTGCAAGGAAACTATTCCAACCTAACTTATCCAAACCTAACTTATCCTAACCTTATTTAGTTTAGCCTAGTGGGTCCTCATTGGATGGGCAAAGACCGTTAGATCTTACGGCGAATGTCCATCACAGTCAACACTATGCTGTCTACACTCTCCTACCGTGCCAAGTCCCACTGCCACTCCCTCAATAAAGACCTCACTGTTCATTGGAGGGGGACAACTTCTCCATCAAAGCAGCTTTCTATCCAGTCCCCCACACCCTCAGCCAGCATCACCAGTGTTTTAAAACATCTACAGTGTTTACCTACCTAATCGCCCAACAGTCAGGAGACCAGACCGCAACTCACACTGGAATACACATCACCGGCATGGAATCTGCATCTTGTGCAGATTCAACCTAGAATCCTAAGACTCTGAGCACTCCAGTTGCCCATGACCTCTCAGGAGGCCTGAGACACTGAGCCGCGGGGACGTTGATTTTCGAAATCAGCGCAAGGTAGCTGCAAGGTATCGCCACAGGAGGCCAGAGAGGAAAACAGCCTTATTATGACTGGCCATAAACGCCATGACAAGGCGGTGCCATCTGGTGAACTTTTGCGGCTATTCTACCAGCCTTTCTCTGTTACAATAAAGTATCTCTCTCTCTCTGATCTTTCATCTCTCATATCTAGTTTTGAGTATATTTAGTGATCTATGTTGTTAGGGATGAGAAGACTGTTTCGTTCCTACTCTCAGTTGTCATATTTCAACACATTTTAAATTGCGTCCCATAACATATCTATAGAAATATTTCCCTCATATTTTGTCTCGAGCCCGTCGACCTCTTTCCCTTCAAGAAAGCGGTCAATACGCTCACTAACTCTCCAGTGCCCTCCAAGGCCTGACTTGTGTTCCTTATTAGAAAATATATGACTCAACCTCTCATGCCCCATTACATTTGACGTGACTAAGAGTCACGTGATTCTTAGTCATACTCCATATTTACAACTCCGCTCCATACTTACATACTCCTCCGCTCCATACTTACAACACTTAAGTGTTGTAAGTATGGAGCGGAGCGTGTTTGGTATGTTTGGTGACCGATGCGTGTCCTTGTGTGTGTGCAGGTGGTGAAGATGCCGCCCGCCAGAATGAACAACGTCTGCGAGACCAACGGCCCACGCAAGTGGAAGAACATCTTCGGCAGGAACGAAGGTACGTTCATGGTTCGAGTCTTTTCTTCTCAGGGAAACAAAGATTCGCGTCACACTTGCTGACGCACTACCATTATAATATATGTAAATACGTTTTGCTTTTTTATTTTTTGTCCATGCGAGTAACCGTGTTTATTTTTGTGACCGGTGTGTTTGTGGGGATCAGGCGGCGGTGAGGACGACGGCTCCACGACGGACGAGTGCAACAAGAAGAACCTAATGCAGGATGGTGTCTTACGCAGTCTCTCCAAGCACAACACTAATCTCTCCAAGGTAGTGCTCTCTCCTCTCACCAGTGCCTCTCACTCCTCATCTGCCTCTCTCTCTCTCTCTCTCCCTCCTCACCTGCTTTCCTCCCCTCTCACGGTCACTCTCCGACAATCTTCTTTCACCATGCATTCAAATTCTTGCAGAACAAGTTCACCATATCTCTTATAATTCTTAAGGGAGAATTTTATCTTATTTTAGAAGGCAATTACTCTTTGTTGACTTGTTCACTTGCTTCACAACAGACTTGTGATCAAATGTTAAAGACCTGTTTTGTAAGACCACCACACCCGTCCTGGTTATTAAGACCACTACCCGTCCTGGTTATTAAGACCACCTTGTGGCTACCTTGTGTAGCTTCTGGGGATCAATGGCCCCACGATCCGGTCTCCGACCAGGCCTCCCAGTTGGTCCTGTGGTCAACCAGGCTGTTGGACGCGGCTGCTCACAGCCTAACGTATGAGTCACAGCCTGGTTGATCAGGTATTCCTTAGATGTATTTGTCAAGTTCTCTCTTAAACACTGTGAGATCAAATTATGCTCGTGTTAGTAGTTATGCTCGAGTTACGGAGCCAGTTATGCTCTTTACGTGTAGTGGAAGCGTGTTGAACAGTTTCTGGCCTCTGATGTTGATAGAGTTCTCTCTCAGAGTACCCGTTGCACCTCTTCTGTTCAACGGGGGTATTCTGCACATCCTGCCATGCCTTCGGTCTCATGTGATGTTATATCTATGTGCAGGTTTGGAACCAGTCCCTCAAATATCTTCCACGTGTAGATTACTATGTATCTATCTCGCCTGTACTCTAGAGAATACAGATTTAGAACTTTTAATCGATCCCAATAATTAAGATGATTCATAGAGTGGATTCTAGCGGTAAAGGATCTTTGCACGCTCTCCAGGTCAACAATTTCGCCAGCTCTGAATAGGGCTGTTAGAGAGCAACAATATTCCACACTAAAGAGCACTATAGTTTTGAAAAGTATCCTCATTGGTATGACATCCCTTGTTTGGAAGGTCCTTGTTATCCACCCCAACATAGAATTACTCCAACAAAAACTACCAAATTTGCCAACAAAAAAAAATCCAAATTTGCCAACAAAATAAATCCAAATTTGCAAAAGAAAAAAATCCAAATCCGCGAATAAAATAATCCAAATCTACTAACAAAAAATCAAAATCCAACAACAACAAAAATTAAAATCCGTCTACATAAAAAAAATTCAAGTCCGCTAAACAAAAAAAATACAATTCTGTCTATAATCAAATTCCAATTTTGCCAAAAAAAAATCGACCAAAAAAAATCCAAATCCACCAACATAAAAATTCTAAATCCACCAACATAACTTCAAATCTTTTTGAAGTCAAGATTCGCTAATAGTGAATCCGGAAGCGTCGGTTGTCATAGTTCACTCGAATTGTATTTTATTTAGAGTTAATTTAATAAAATTGTAATTTAACTAACACTTGTAATAGTTTAGGAAGAGCTTTGAGGAGGAATTCGCTGTATGTATTTCCAAAGTCCACCCTTAAAATAATTTGTTGACGTTTGCTAAGAGTAGACATTATCGTACATCTATTTTGAGTAAAGTAAGGTCTGCAGTCCGTCTGGCGTAATGGTAAGACACTCGCCTGGCGTTTCGCGAGCGCTTTGTCCTGGGTTCGTATCCTGGCTGGGGAGGATTGACTGGGCGCCAATCCTTAACTGTAGCCTCTGTTTAACCCAACAGTAAAATTGGTACCTGACTGGTAAACGATTTGGCAGGTCGTATTCTGGGGAATATTAGGATTAAGGCCTTGCCCGAAACGCTACGGGTGCTAGTGGCTGTACAAGAATGTAAGAACTCTTGTATATATAAATATATAAATAAAATAAAAAAACAGTTGGAACGGACAAGAACCCAAATATCCTCTAATGATTATAGACTCGCTGTCGCTGAGTTGAGCCTCCCAATGTTTGTAAACAATGGCGCACGTGTTGTCTGGGGGATCACTGGGTGGCAATACTCTATCTTCTGGGGCCAGATTCATGAAGCAGTTACGCAAGCACTTACGAACGTGTACATCTTTTCTCAATCTTTGACGGCTTTTGTTACATTTATTAAACAGTTTACAAGCAAGAAAACTTGCCAATCAACTGTTGTTATTGTTATAAACAGCCTCCTGGTGCTTCGTAGCTCATTAACTTAGCTGCTTCGTAACTGCGTAACTGCTTCGTGAATCTGGCCCCTGGTTGGGTGGAGCTCTGGGACTCGCCTCTCAGGAACTCCCGAGATATGTGCCTAACGTGCGCTGATCTGGCGCAACCCTGAGTGTACCATTCAGCCTGCGCACTAGGAGATTCGAACCGTGAACCCCACCGAAACTCTATCCACCGAGCTATTCAGTTTTTTAACCCAGAGTAGTTTCCTGCCCCCAGGTGACGCGAGGGGCCTGACGGCTGAGTGGACAGCGCTCGGGATTCGAAGTCCTAAGGCTCCGGGTTCGATCCTCGGCGGAGGCGGACACAAATGGACAGAGTTTCTTTCGTCCTGATGCACCTGTTCACCTAGCAGTAAATAGGTACCTGGGTGTTAGATAGCTGCTACGGGCTGCTTCCTGGGGGGTGTATAACAAAAGGAGGTCTGGTCGAGGACCGGGCCGCGGGGACGCTAATCCCCGAAATCATCTCAAGCTAACCTCAAGAATAACTGTGAATAGCCTCTAAGCTTCGCGGTTTACCCAAGACGGAAGCGCTTAGGCTGTCCTGGCATCGTGCTCCTAAGATCAAGAGGAAGAAGGCCAACAGGGAGATGGAACAAGGTTATGGGAGTGTCTACCCTAACATAATATAGTTAAGAGACGTTTTATATAAAAAAATGTTCCTTAATTACCCCCTCCCCCCCTAGTGCGTACCCATATTAACTTAGGCTTCAGTTGTGTTTCAGTTTTTATTTTTAGCTGTAACTTCAAAGAATTAAATCTCGCTTGTAAATGTAATTTTTTTTTTAGGGGGGGATGGATGGGGTAAATCAGTTATGTTTACAATTCCAGAAAAAACTGGATAAATAAGTAACAATCAGTAATAAAGATTAATTTATGCACCAGAAGAATGTGGTATATATATAATGAAATATTACGTGATATCTTGTTCTATACCACACAAATCAACAAATGTAGTTCGCTTACAACCGACACTAATTCCTTGAAGTGTGGAACATATTACAAAGAGAAGCCGGTAAGCACATCTGTTGTTAAACCAGGATTAACCAGGCTCTGTAGTTAAACCAGGATTAACCAGGATTAACCAGGCTCTGTAGTTAAACCAGGATTAACCAGGATTAACCAGACTCTAGTTAAACAAGGATTAACCAGGATTAACCAGACTCTGTAGTTAAACCAGGATTAACCAGGATTAACCAGACTCTGTAGTTAAACAAGGATTAACCAGGATTAACCAGACTCTGTAGTTAAACCAGGATTAACCAGACTCTGTAGTTAAACAAGGATTAACCAGGATTAACCAGACTTTGTAGTTAAACAAGGATTAACCAGGATTAACCAGGCTCTGTAGTTAAACCAGGATTGTATGCGAAGTGCAAGGTAGACGCACCTGAGGTAATTCAGGACAAGAGATGATGACATCACTCGCTGCTTGTTATTTCAGGAAGGGAATTACAGGCCAAGTGTCACACAGCCGCTCTGGTGGTGTAGAGGCAACCGCTCTCCCCCGCCCCTCTCACTGCTGCTGTCCTTGTCGTGTCTGAGAGTGTCACACAGCCGCTCTGGTGGTGTAGAGGCAACCGCTCTCCCCCGCCCCTCTCACTGCTGCTGTCCTTGTCGTGTCTGAGAGTGTCACACAGCCGCTCTGGTGGTGTAGAGGCAACCGCTCTCCCCCGCCCCTCTCACTGCTGCTGTCCTTGTCGTGTCTGAGAGTGTCACACAGCCGCTCTGGTGGTGTAGAGGCAACCGCTCTCCCCCGCCCCTCTCACTGCTGCTGTCCTTGTCGTGTCTGAGAGTGTCACACAGCCGCTCTGGTGGTGTAGAGGCAACCGCTCTCCCCCGCCCCTCTCACTGCTGCTGTCCTTGTCGTGTCTGAGAGTGTCACACAGCCGCTCTGGTGGTGTAGAGGCAACCGCTCTCCCCCGCCCCTCTCACTGCTGCTGTCCTTGTCGTGTCTGAGAGTGTCACACAGCCGCTCTGGTGGTGTAGAGGCAACCGCTCTCCCCCGCCCCTCTCACTGCTGCTGTCCTTGTCGTGTCTGAGAGTGTCACACAGCCGCTCTGGTGGTGTAGAGGCAACCGCTCTCCCCCGCCCCTCTCACTGCTGCTGTCCTTGTCGTGTCTGAGAGTGTCACACAGCCGCTCTGGTGGTGTAGAGGCAACCGCTCTCCCCCGCCCCTCTCACTGCTGCTGTCCTTGTCGTGTCTGAGAGTGTCACACAGCCGCTCTGGTGGTGTAGAGGCAACCGCTCTCCCCCGCCCCTCTCACTGCTGCTGTCCTTGTCGTGTCTGAGAGTGTCACACAGCCGCTCTGGTGGTGTAGAGGCAACCGCTCTCCCCCGCCCCTCTCACTGCTGCTGTCCTTGTCGTGTCTGAGAGTGTCACACAGCCGCTCTGGTGGTGTAGAGGCAACCGCTCTCCCCCGCCCCTCTCACTGCTGCTGTCCTTGTCGTGTCTGAGAGTGTCACACAGCCGCTCTGGTGGTGTAGAGGCAACCGCTCTCCCCCGCCCCTCTCACTGCTGCTGTCCTTGTCGTGGTCTGAGCGTGTCACACAGCCGCTCTGCTCTGTCTGCTGCTGTCCTTGTGTCTGAGAGTGTCACACAGCCGCTCTGGTGGTGTAGAGGCAACCGCTCTCCCCCGCCCCTCTCTCACTGCTGCTGTCCTTGTCGTGTCTGAGAGTGTCACACAGCCGCTCTGGTGGTGTAGAGGCAACCGCTCTCCCCCGCCCCTCTCACTGCTGCTGTCCTTGTCGTGTCTGAGAGTGTCACACAGCCGCTCTGGTGGTGTAGAGGCAACCGCTCTCCCCC